TCAAACCAATCGCACACCAATCACTGTCAAGCCAAAGCGACATCAGATTTGGGAGTTCCCCTATTTCCAGACATCCCCGCAACACAGTTTTGGGGTGCCTTCCCAGCCTCCCACCGCCCCAGAAAGCCCCACCCAGGAAAAAAGCAGCACACACACACACACACACACACCAATCACCATGCGAGTAGTGAGTTGATCAGGCCGCAGCCCAGGCGGCAGCTCAGGCCCAGGCCCGAGACTGAAAGGGAACTGGGCGGCTCGTCGGAACTTTGAAGTTGGTACTTCTTGTGGGTTGGTTTCAAACGGAAATCCAAAGGAAAGCCGAGAACAAGTCCTATTTTAGGGAGGTCCAAACCCAATTTTGTCCCTCAATGTTGGTTGCTATACCAGTTGGTAGCCACTTGGGTTACCCACAAATAGGGCTAACCCAAAGGGGGACTTAGTGGAATACAGCCTAGGTTAGCAACAACGTACTAGCTTGGCAACGAGCACCCAAGTCTCCCCAAATTGCCATAGATGGGTCCAAAAAACCCAAGAATAATTTCCTCTGAGGGTTTTCGGTTGCATGTCAATCTGTGCACCTGTTTTGGTGTCGGTTTAAAGGGAAGCCAGAAGGAACACGGCAGACATTTTGCGGGGTCCAAATCCTCCCCGTTATTTGATGCCCACGAAAGGGTCCCGAATCGAAGCTTGTGCTCATCTTGGAAGATGTTGAAAGAACTGCCGGGTGTGTCTCAAAAAGTAACCACGATGGTGTTGCTTTGGTTTCTCCTCGCCGCAAATAGGGTATCCTCAAAAGAAAGAAAAGCACGCTTTGGTGTTTCAAGGCATCCAGATTCTAGTTGTTGCCTGTTTTTTTTTGGGGGGGGAGGGAATGTTGAAACATCTTGTGTTCAACCCGTTCTTTTTCATGTGAGGGGTTGACATCAAGCCGAAAAAGTGAGAGCATTTGCAGCGACCTTGCAGGGACCCGATGCACCAAGAAGCTTGACCAGGATGTGGTTCCTTGTTGCCCCTTGCATTTCCTGTTTCTGATTTAAACAAATAAAACAAAAAAAATAAAAACAAAAAAAAACATGTCAGAAGACCCAGACCCTCAGCCCATGGCTTCCCTGAGACGCACTCGCTCCATCCGACTCGGAGGCGCAGGCGGCGGCCACGGAGGAGTCGGTGCGCTTGAGCCGTGGCAGCGAGGAGCTCCGGAAGCAGCCGGGGACCGAGGGTCCCATCGGTGGGTGCGGCGGTTTGGAACGGCTTGTTTTTTCCCCCTCCCCCCTAAAAAATAGTTGTTGTTGTTTTGTTTTTTTTGTTGGGGGGGTGTTTGCTTTTAGTGGAGAAAAAAAACAATGGAAGTTTGTTTGGGGGGGGGGGGGTTGCTGTTTTCAGTGGAAAAAAACAATGGACGTTTTTTTTTGGGGGGGGTGTTTGCTTTTCTTGGAAAAAATCAAAGGAAGTTTGTTTTTGTTTTGGGGGGGAGGCCTAAGGATTGTTTGTGCTTTGGGGACAAACCTGGGGAGAACCTGGGGGGTTCTCAACAAGAATGGACCCTTCTGCCTGGTGCCGCCTTGTGCCGCCTTTTAAAGGGCGGCCCACGTTTGACAAGCAAACCTCCATATACGGTCGTTGTGCGCCTTTGGACACATATTTACCCAAATTGGTTTTTCCGAGCCGGAAACGCCCAGTGGGTAGGTGGCGTCCAAGTGGGTGTGGCTCAAAATTAAAGAGCTAGGATTACGCAGGTTTTAGTCTTTGGTTCCATTTATCAAGGTGCCATTTTGGTACATGTTTTTGAGTGTTTCTTTTTCCGGCCACATGTCATCTGAAAATCCGCCTTTTCTCTTTGACCTTCTGGACACATGATTGCATGTTCTATTAAACCTACAAAAGGTCTAGCGACCTTTTGCTCAGCGGGGCTTGGAGCAGGGAAAAGCATATGGATACGAGTCCCAGATCCATCGCATTTGCATATGGCAGTATATTTACCCGTCCATAAAAGCATATTTTGCTTAATAGTTGACCAACAGGGGATGGGGATGGATACTGTTTGTGTTTCACACCCTCGTTTAGAAGCAGCCTGCCCAAACTCCATTACTCAGGCTTCTAAAGCACATGACTCTGCCACATGAGTCTGGCAGATTTCATGGTTGATGAGACTCTAGACAAGCTAATGGCCATGACATTTAATGGCGAACTTCCACCGAAATGGTTGATATAAATTCCCTTTTTGTCCACCAACGCGTCCTGGACCCATTACACTGTATTCTCATATCTTGGTAGAGCCCAAAGTCAGCTCGTGCGAAGAACGTGCTGCTTTGGCGCGGCATTTGGGTTCACTTTCCTCTCGAGGCTTCACGAGCAGTCGGAGAAGGTGGAGGCGAACCCGGAGTAGTTTGAAGCTGATGCTCAAAACTACGCCTCTCAAAGTCTCACTTGCCCAAACCCGACCTTGTGGTTCCCCTTTTTGGTCCATTTGTAGTCAAGGGCAAAAAAAGTGAATCTTTTGGTTGTGGATCTCTTGAGCAACTGATATATAAATTGATAATTATATATATATATATGTTGACTTCTCAAAATCGCTGGGACCCGGTGGCTTCCCTAAAAAAAAACACAACTCACAGGGCAATGTTGAGGATGTCACATAGACCGGGTTACCGCATGACTGGTTTTCGGTTGGTTGGAGCTGAAGAGAAACCACCAATGGGATTCAACCATCAAAGGGGTTCCACCAATTCGGTGTGGCATTTGCAACTTTGCAACGGCAGAGTTGGGTTGCTTCCACGCGTGGAAACCTCAAAGGGCCCAGATTCAATCTTCTTGGCTTGCTCAGTTGCCCAAAGCCGAGTGTTAAGCCTTCTGTTCTTTTTAGTTTTGTCTTGTTTGGAATACGTAGTCATACCGAGTTCTCATTTTGTTTTCAGGGCGTGGCAAGTGAGTAGCTCTCGTCAAGTCGGCGACAGAGGAACGCCTCGTTCAGGCAGTCCAGAAGTCCTGCACTGAGGCGGGAGTCGGAGGACCCCAGATGAAACCCAAAAAAGGGACACCCCGCTTTTACTGATCCAAGGAGATGCGGAGAAGCTGGGGTTGACAGTAGAAATCCTTTTCAGAAATCCACTCACCCGCAATTCATGAGTTTTCCTGATGGTTGAAACAAATAGTAGTCAAAGAGAGTGTTACCCAATCTTTCTAACCACAAAACCATTGTTTGACCTCCATGTTACCGCCACAGGGGCGCAAAAAGCAATATGCGTGTGTTTGTGTCTCAAAGAGCCTCCTGTTGGAACCCATGTTCAGCACTGCACTCAATGCGCCTGGCCTTGTACGAGTCGTCATTACCAGATCGAAGTTGCAACAGCATCATCTTCTGTCGCAGCGAGTTTCTGACAAAGCCGACTCTAAACCTCACTCCCTGGGTACCTGGACTTTATTCTTGGGAATACCATTGTGGGTGTGTCTTAAAATAGGAGACCCCAAGAAATAGGTGGTGTCCATTTGGTGTCCCTTTGAACCAAGCCCAACAAGTGTACCATCACAAAACCCATATGGATAACAGCCAAATTTCTGAGTTTTTTCGGCCAAGCGATTCTGAATCACAGCAACCCGCCGCAGGCAGTTGAGAAAGCGCAGGCTGGAGGGCTTCTGGGGCTTCGTGAGGACGAGTTGTGCATGGCCCGACTCCAGACCTTCCTTTTACCGACACAGTGTTTGGTGTGTCATTCTTACCCGGAGAGTTGGCAAACTGAAGCTTTGTGTTAGGTACACGTTTGAACTGTTTCTGGCCAGTCGCAGTTTGTGTTTGTGCATTGGTCCTCTCAGCCAACAAAAAGCTTAAAGGCTTATTTGCAGAGGCTTTCAGCTAAAAGGCAAGTCATATATGGAAGAGGGAGTCCCTCACTTTGCTTTGGCCCAGTTGGGGACGTGTATAGCCTAGTTTCGACATGTCACCAAGGGCTTACCATGGTTTACATGTCCAGCAGAGATCTGCAGACCTCGGTGCCAAAGGCGAATACGTGGCTTGAAGAACTGAGCCTCACGGTTCCATTTTCGCATTGGGTAAACTCCACAAAGGGTCCTTGTAGGTTTTAAGCTACCCAGTGCTTTGTTTTTTGTTTTTGCTTTTTTAATCTCCAGGTCACCAGGTCCTTCCATAGATGGTTTCCCCATGTTTTCCCCTTGCTATAGTGGCTTGCCTGGAAGCACTGGGCCGACAAGTTACTATCCCGAACACCCAAGTTCCATGCCAGGTGGAGTCTCAGAAGGCCTTGGAAGCTGTACGCGAGGAGACCGCAGGCTCGCTCCGAATTAACATGGGACCCGGATCTCAAACCCAATGGCTAGTACCTGTTGCGGGGGATCGTCGGGGGGGGGGGGGGTGGTAGGGTTCCTTCTGGGTGCCTTTTGAGGGGGTCTCTCTCTCTCTTTGGGGCCTGTGAAAGGTGCTTTAGCAGCCGCTGAGAGCAAGGAGGCCGCCACATTGGATGCCAAAATGGCCGAGGCGAGGGCTTTGCTCCACGGGTTGGGAGATGAGCTGGGGGTTAGCTTATTAAAAAGCCAGGTTGGTTGACCACCCCAAGAGAATCATAGAACCTGGAAAAACGGACCCCGGAGGAGAATGGAGGATACTTGGAGGGCGTAGCCTTGGCGATAGATGGGACAACGGGGGATGTGCGCATATAGCCTGATAGAACCATGGCTTTTACCTCACTAAGCAGCTTGGGCATCCAAGTAGCTATCGCGGAATATCGACCACAGATGTAAGTACGCAGAACTTGGCAGGTGAAACTTGTCGTGCTTTCCCATATGATGGGTCTCGGTAGCAATCGCCGAAGGTGTTGTTGTGTTTACTCCCCCTGGTTGACATGGAACTCAAAAAGGCTAGAAGGAGGTTCCTCTACAGATGGTTTTGGGGTTCCATGTTAATCTGTGCAGGTGAAGTTTGCAACCCCAAACAATCTACTCACGACGAAAAGAAACAACTCGAGGGTTGGGACGGCGCAATAGGGTTGTTTGTTTCAAGAGCACTTCTCAGGTGGTTCCCCGTTTAATTTCACAATATTTCATAGCCAGACTCCAGCTGGTAGGTTTAAGGGAAAGGACGATCTCCAGTGCTCCAATGTGTGGTTTGGAGCCGGTTTGGAGTCAGTTTGCAGGTGTGGAGGTTGGGTGGTGTCCCTTTGGACCCTATACAAATCCCCCAACCACCAAACACATCCACAGTCTTTTTTAGTCAATGCCACCAATTGTCCACGCTGTTTGCAAAGGTTCAAGTGGATTCCAGTTCTTCAGTCTCAAAGGGACGACCCTCACCTGCGGATTCCTGATGCTGGGATTCTCGGTAGTGACTATGGCAGAAAAAACAGGACGCATTGTCGGCTTGGCCATTTTTTGGCTGAACCTTGTTCGGCTGCCAAGGGCAACTCTCGGCTTGACGGGGCCCTGGATGAACAACTCCTCGTAACTAAATGCGGCACACTTTCAGTGCAGGGCTGTACGTTTGGCGGAACCCCGCCGCCCCCGGCTTGGCTCCAATGTCACAGCCTTGTCTCAAGCAGTGTCATGGAGATCTGCGGGGTGGGTCAATAATCGCTCAAAACCGCCGCTTCGGAACGCTGCTTAAAAATCGCTTCGGAACGCCGGAAAACGCACTAATCGCTTAACGCTGACAGCGCAGCCACATCCCACGCGCTGCACCGAGACACCGGCGAGCGCTTCGCTCTTGAACGCTGGGACAAGAATCGGCACCCATGCGTCCACGCGCTTTCATCGCAGCTTGCAGAGCCTGGCGTTTGGCATGTGCAGAGACTTGCCCTCGTTGACCTAGAGCAAAGTTTGGGATATGTTTGGGGAAACTCTCTTTGTTTTGGGGGAGAAAGGGAGGGACCCACCAGGTGTTTTCTTCAAACCGCATGTTCAACTTGCAGAGCCTGACGTTTGGCATGTGCAGAGAATTGCCCTCATCAGAGCTCAGTTGAGTGGGTGTGCTTATCATCCCCCCCCCCACCCCCCCAGAACAAATTGATCGGATTTTGCACACCCTAACTGGAATGAAGCAGTTCAGCGGGTGTGCTTATCAGCCCCCCCCCCACCCCACCCCCCACCCCCAGAACGGAAGTGATCCTTGGCTGGGACGCCTGCGTTCGGAAGTGATCATTTTTACATGACCGGGTTTTGCAACCCTTTTGGCGTTTTGAGTGCTCAGTGTTCTGAAGTGATTTTTCTGAGTGTTCGGAAGTGATCGAAAGTGGCAGCGTTCAGAAGTTATTTTTTAGCGTTCGGAAGTGATTGTCTACCGCGGGGTGCCTCACATCCTCCTTTTGGTTGCCCACTTCAGTGACCTCCTAGGGTGATGTTGAAGGAAATTTGCGGAGAGCTGGGCAAAATGGAGAACCACCAAGCATGCGGGAGCCCTCAAAAGAGCAGCAGTTTTTTAGTGAAATCCAAGTTCGCGCAAACAAAGCCCATTCCTTCTGGTGGCTACACAGACGAGAATGTCCTTAAGTGCAGCTTGGTCTCCGAACCAATGGTCAAATCAAGCTTCAGACCCCCACAACCTTCGGGAACCGGGGGTGCAACACCCTTAGTATGAGTAGTCATGGTTAGTAGTGACAACCCAGGATTAAGAAACCCTTGGTTTATTTATTTGTTCGATCAGGGCTCCATTTGTTTCGTTATGGTTAAGGTATCGCCTTTTCTGCCCAAGAAGGTTGCCAACTGAGTTGAGATTTCGTGAGTTTCCCTGAGTTTCTTTGGGGATGTTTATACGTGGAATAAAGGCTGGACAAAGGTACCCTGGTCGCAGCCAGGCTGGTAGCGACAGGGAGGAGATCCGACAACAACTTGAAAAGCTGCTTGGATGCAGCGGCCAAACAGCCAAACACCTACCGAGGGGATGATGTTGGGGGGTCTTTTCTTGAGGGTACCCATGCTTGGGTTTTGTGGTCGCGTAAACAAATATACACCCGCATAGAGTTTAAGGACATTGATATGGAGTACGTGTCAGGGCTCCAGCTGCTCAACTTCCTTCCACCCTGCAAGCCCACCTTTCTTTAGAATGGGGAGCTATTTGTCGGGTTACACATTAGTGGGACGCATTTTGTAAGTCGCACCTAAAGCCGACCGAAACAGGATACTAACATGTTTCTTCTGGTCACGGGCAGACTGGGAGCAAACACTATCGCTTCTAGCCGTATCCGGTGATTAGTTTTGTTGCCGACGGGGCTTTCAACCATTGTCAGGACCCAGTGCTTCCAGTTGCCACTGTATGGTTTGCCTGGAAGTGCTGGGTTAGCTCGCCGTTTTGCGCTCATTTTGGCTTTCAGATGCTCATGGATTCGTGGGTCCGACCAGTCAGTCGGGACACAGCAAAAGGCCCCATATGGCCCTGTTTTGAAG